CCTGTCTCAGCCTCCTAAGTAGCTGGGACTACAGGTGCGCACCACCAAGCCTGGTTAATTTTTGTATTTTTAGCAGGCATAGAGTTTCACTATGTTGGCCAGGCTGTTCTTGAACTCCTGATCACAAGTGATCCACCTGCCTTGGCCTCCCAAAGTGCTGGGATTACAGGTGTGAGCCACCATGCCCGGCCGTAACGATTCTTAGCTCACTCATGGCTGGCCAAATTTGATCCATGGGTTACAGTATGCCAATGTTTATTTGCTAGATTCCCTTTGTTTCACCATTTGAGAGAATGATGCAATACCCCTGTCTGTCAAAAGTGAGGAGTCATTTTTTTCCCATCTAATGTCAGGCTGTCATGACTCAGTTACTTGTGCATTGACAAAAATTACACCCATTTAGTTGTTGATGGAGAATGTTTTATTTATGCAATTTTTTCTGTACAGATGCTTCTGTCCTCATCTTTATATTTGTCTCCCTCTTCTCACTGAACTGTAAAATTCCTGAAGGATGAGACCTGGGCTGTTTAATGCAATCTGTACAATCTCAGCAGAGCACAAGCATCAAGTGGACATACGATAAACTTTAATAATGATCAAACACAAGTAAAAATAACCACTGAAAATACAAAACTCAACAAGAGACATAAGAAAAAGGCAGATGAAAAACAAGAAAAATTCTTATTTTAGAATGATGCTATACGTAACTTGTAAAATATTTAAGTTTATACATGAGATTATATTGGTTTCCTTATTTAAAGAAAAAAGGAAAAATTACAATTAAGAATAGAAATTAAAATGCAGAACCAAGATAAATATTTTTGGCTCGGCCCAGTGCGGTGGCTAATGCCTGTAAACCCAGCACTTTGTGGAGGCTGAGGTGGGTGGATCATGAGTTCAGGAGTTTGAGACCAGCCTGACCAACATAGTGAAACCCCGTCTCTACTAAAAATACAAAAATTAGCCGGGTATGGTGGTGGGAGCCTGTAATCCCAGCTGTTCAGAAGGTAGAGGCAGAATAATTGCTTGAACCAGGAAGGTGGAGGTTGCAATGAGCTGAGATCGTGCCGTTGCACTCCAGCCTGGGCGACAAAGCGAGAGGACATCTAAAAAAATATTTATCTTTTTGGCTCTTGGACTAAACAAAAGATTAGTGAGGAAAACCAAGAAATAATGGGGAGAGAAAGAAACAATACTACTAATTTTCTCTTCAAGATTAAAAAAAAAAAAAAACACCTTTTGGCCAGGCATAGTGGCTCACGCCTGCAATCCCAGCACTTTGGGAGGCTGAGGCAGGTGGATCACAAGGTCAGGAGTTTGAGATCAGCCTGGCCAATATGAAACCCTGTCTCTACTAAAAATACAAAAATTAGCAGGGCATGATGGCGGGTGCCTGTAGTCCCAGTCACTCAGGAGACTGAGGCAGGAGAATTCCTTGAAGCCAGGAGGTAGAGGGTGTATTGAGCCAAGATCACGCCATTGCACTGCAGCCTGGGTGACAGAGCGAGACACCACCTCAAAAAAAACAAAAATCCCACCTTTTAACCACATTTGGGGTGATTGTAAATTAACAGTGATGATCTTTTAGAGCTAAAAAATCAGTGACACATTTCATTAAAAGGATCAAAGGAACTTTAACCAGACCATACATGTAAAGGCTATTTAGCATAGCATTTTCATAGATTCAAAGGACATATTTAATGACAAGCAAACCAATAACCAGCAAAAATGAAGACTGTCCTTCCCTTTATAATGTGATATTAAAGTGCTGCCTATGGACATTTATAAAGTGTTTGAAGTTTAATTTTTATTTTACAAAAATTGACACTATTAAAACCAACATGATTATCTTTCACTCATCCAATAACTGAGCTAACAGTATTATAAAAATATGTAAAAAAATTCTAGATTCAATTACCAGATATGCGAATACCCATATAGCTAGTATAAATCTGATGATTAAAAAAATAATTTTGTTTCCTTAAAAACACTTGGTTCATTTACCATTTAATATCAGATAGATATTTGCTATCCTGAAGTACCAAAAAAATCACAAATAAAAATGGCAATGTCTACACTTTAGGTTTCTTGTTAGGTGGATCCTGAAGACTAAACTTCGGAATTTCACCAGAAGGAGCATATGGAATTCTCTTGGAAGACACCTTTTTGCCAATTGTTTCAATCTGAAAAAAAAATTTTTTTTAAGAGAACTATTAATAATTATATAAGTGTAAGAATTTATAATGTACTGAAATGGGGGCAGGGGGAATCTAGAATTTTTTTTTTTTATCAGAAAAGGATTCTCAAGTTGTCTGGGTTGCTATGAGAGATCTTTGGTTTCTTCCCTATTTTTTGCTTCTAGAATTAATCTACACTTCATTTTAATATTCATATCTAGATTTTCTCATTCCTGCCACTCCCCACATCTGACTCTCTCAAAGTAGTAAATCATGTGCTACCACTGTCTTTAGAAACATGTATGAAAATAATTAACAGACCAGATTCCAGTGAGTTCATATTTTATCTCAAACCTTATTCTCATTTCAATTTCCCTTATACTAAAAAACCTTCAAAAGCTAACAGCATAATTTTTTTTTTTTTGAGATGGAATCTTGCTCTATTGCCTAGGCTGGAGTACAGTGGGATGATCTTGGCTCACTGCAAGCTCCTCCTCCTAGGTTCAAGCAATTCTGTTTCTGCCTCTTGAGTAGCTGGGATTACAGATATGCACCACCACGCCTGGCTAATTTTTATATTTTTAGTAGAGATGGGGTTTTGCCATGTTGGCCAGGCTTGTTCGTCTTGAACTCCTGGCCTCATGTGATCCACCCACCTTGGCCTCCCAAAGTGTTGGGATTACCAGTGTGAGTCACTGTGCCCAGTTTGTAACAGCATAATTCTTTCTTGCTCTGTCTCCCAGGCTGAAGTGCAATGGCGCAATCTCGGCTCACTGCAACCTCCGCCTCTTGGTTCAAGCGATTCTCCTGCCACAACCTCCCAAGTAGCTGGGATTACAGGCGCCTGCCACCGTGCCCAGCTAATTTTTGTGTTTTTTCATAAGGATGAGGTTTTGCCATGTTGGCCAAGCTGGTCTCGAACTCCTGACCTCAAGTTATCCACTTAACCTCGGCCTCCCAAAGTGCAGGGATTATAGGTGTGAGCCACCATGCCCGGTGTATAACAGCATAATTGTTACGAGTTCAGGCTTCAGAGTCTGAAAGGCCCCAGCTGGAATCTTGACTGGCACTTGCTGTGTTACCTAAACTCTCCAAGTCTTTCTTCCTCACTTGGTAAATTGTGTTACCACCACTTACCTCAAAGGGTTGTGGTAAGTACTAAATTAGGTAAAGTGCTTAGCATACAACAAGCCAGCCTTCATTAAATGATAATTTTGTTTTGGCTATTACATTTTTTATTTATTCCATATATTCAAAATCATCATCTTACCATTAAAAATACTACTACTTCAATAGTCATGAATTTATCTCCCTTCCCCGGCAGAGATAAATATATTACTTAATTTTCATAAGTCTTTTGAATTAAAAAATAATATTTAATTCTGATTCATGCCACAAAGGGCTTCTGCTTTATATTAACCAGTTGTCTTAGTGACTTACAAATTCTCCTTATTTAGTGATTCCATTCCTAATTGTTTTTTTAATCCTCACTAGGGAAGTTAACTTTTATAATAACTCAAAATCATTTAAAATATATATTTCTCTACATATCTTTTCCCTTAGATGAACAGGAATGAGAGAAAATGTGTCTATCCCCTGCAAATAACCTTTTATTTTTATTTTTTTTATTTTATTATTTTTTTTTTTTTGA